CCCATCTTCCTTCCATGGAGTGGTTCATAGGTTTGAGCCATCAGCCTTCTGGTTAGCAGTCAGATGCCTTAGGTATGGCAGCCACCAAAGCTCCTTACTATTCATAATAGATTAAAAAAAAAAATACCAAATATCCAGCAATCACAAAAGAAACATTATTTGCTGAAGATGACATTAATTTGCTCAATACCCAAGAGCTCTGAACTGTGATTGTTTTACCAGTGTTTGTCACAGACTCCGTTCAACATCATAAGCTACTACCCATACACTGAGCATCATTGGGTTTGTCAGAGGTTAAAACACAATGGCAACAATATTTGTGCTACTCTTGGATCAGCTTGAGAGCCTTCTCTTTCCTTGGAACCCCTTGAAAGTTGAAGTCTTATAATACATTCCTATCATCATTCTGTTGTTGGTGGCTGCTGTTGAGTCCATTTTGACTCATAACTACTCCATGTGACTGAGGAGAACTGCCCCGTAGGGTTTCCCAGGCTGTGATATTTATAGGAATAGATTGCCAGGTCTTTTTCTCATGAAGCTACTAGGTGGGTTTGAACCACGAACCTTTTGGTTTATAGTCAAGTGCTTAACCAGGGCCTCCTATCTATGCCTGCATAAAACAGCCATTATATGGTTTTTTCAAGGATTCTGGGCTTACCTTTGCAATATATTCCTCAATGCTTGGTTAAAGGAATGAAGCAGTAATAATAAATCCTTTTTAACATTTTCTTTCCCTAAGTCTTTGGATTTCTCCTTCCACTTTTTGCCAATACATTCTGCCATCTGAATTTACTTAGTGTAAGTTACCATATAGTACAGATTTCTGTCAACCAATGTAGCAAACAATTTGTACTACTCCCAACAGCTTGACTTAGCACATTAAATCCAGAACTCTATAAAGTACATCCATATCATTAAACTTGAAACAATATAAAGTTATGTTCCTTCATTCTTGATCAGAATCTATTTCCACAATTATTTCTCTAGCTTCCCCCAGCATAGATTAGCAAAATATTTCAATTATTTGGTTGGATGACCAATCTTAGATTCCCATCTCCAGGGGTTTGTTGTCCATATTTCACTTTCTGAATACTGAATTACCAAATACTGAATCAGTTCAGTGCAGTTGAAAGAAATAGTCTAGGTATTTTAGGCATCAGAAATACTGAAGAACAGGCTCTAGACTTGGTCCCCAGGAATGACTTCTTTTTTATATTAACAAAGTCATAATATTTGGGGTCATCATTAGAACTATGCTAAAAGAAAGAAGCCACCACTATTTCTATCATTATTGTTAATCACACTCAGGAAGATGGAGAAACAATCAAACAAACTTAGTTCACACACACACACAAAAGGAAATGAGTAAAATTGTTATTCATAGATGACATAATTGGATATGTATAGCAAATCTTAAAGAATCTACCAAAAAACCTAGCAGAACTACTAAGAGATTTTAGCAATAGTGCAAGAGATAAATTCAACATATTTCAATTGATTCTGCTAGATTATTGAATCTATTGTTAGTTGCTCGATTATAGATTTTATAATCGAGCAACTAACAACTGGAAAATAAAATTTTAAATACTATATATAAAAGTATCAAAAATAGTAAATACATAGAAATAAATGTAATAAAAGATGCACAAGATTCCCACATTTAAAGCACAACTACTGAGAGAAAGTAAATATTTAAATAAACGGAGAAAATATACTGTGTTCATGGATTGGAAGATTCAACACTGTTAGGATGTCAATTCTCCCTAAACTGATCTACAGATTCAATGGGATTCCAATCAAAATTTCAATAAGCTTCTTGAAGAAGTTGACAAGTTGATCCTAAGATACATATGGAAACACAGGATTTACAATAGCCAAAACAGTCTTTAAAAAAAAAAAAAAGTTTTCATTAATGAAAACAGCATGATTTTTGCATAAGGTTTTTTTTTTTTTTAAGATCATGAAATAGGAAAGAGAGTAAAAATAATTATCCAGACATATACAGTCATTTGATAGTTCACCAATGCAATAGGAAAAATAAAGTCTCTTTAATAAATGATGTGATAACAACAGGGTATCTGAGGAAAAAGAAGCCCCAACTCCAACCTCATCCATACATAAAACTTAATTTTGAGAAGTTCTTTTCAGATTGCCTTCATTTTCACAGATAAAAGCCATTGCCAAGAGTGTAAGAGAATGAGATACTGAGGAAGGTATAAGAGAATTGTCCAGAAGAAGAAAATACAGTATAATTATCAGCAGAATTAAAGACCCATTTGACATTTGTGGTTTGTTAACCAAGGTTAGGGTATGCCAAATGAGTATGAAAGAGGACCTGCTAACACTGTAAACATGGAAAAGTTAATGTAACTTTTGCACCTAGTTTTCTCATTTGAAAATGGAGATAACAGTACTTCCTCGATGAGCTATTGAGTTAAATGAGTTAACATAAAAACATTCAGGACAGTGAGTGGCTCAATAAATGCTATTTAATCAATTGTTACTATATTATCTAGATAGGTAGGTCTAAACTCACAGCCATTAAGTTGTTTCCAACTCATAGTGACCCCCTTGGGTTTCTGAGGCAGTAAATCTTTACACGGAGTGACTGGTGAGTTTGAACTGTCAACCTTCTAGTTAGCAGTCAAATGCCTTTATAAGTAGGTGGTATAGTAACTTAAGAACAAGAATTCCAGAGCATGAACTCTGGTTATATACTTGATATATAACTTTGGCAAGTCATTGGACCCTTGTGTCCTCAATTTCCTTTTCTGTAAAATAAGTATAATAAACATAATCTACCTCACTGCTGTTTTTTGTGTGTTGTTATTGTTATCAGATGCTGTTGAATTGGCTCTGACTCATAGCAACCTTACGTACAACAGAATGAAACACAGCCCGGTCCTGTGCCAGCCTCATAATCCTTGCTATACTTGAGCTGATTGTTTCAGCCACTGTGTCCATCCATCTCATTGAGGGCCTGCCCCTTCTTTGTTGACCCTCCACTTTACCAAGCATGATATCCTTCTCCAGGAAATGGTCCCTTCTGGCAACATGACCAAAGTAGGTGAGACAAAGTCTGGCCATTCTTGCTTCCAAGATGCATTCCAACTGCACCTCTTCCAAGACAGATTTGTTAGTTCTCCTGGCAGTCCATGCTACTTTCAATATTCTTTGCTGATACCATACTCAAAAGCATCAACTCTTCTTCAGTCTTCCTTATTCATTGTCCAGCTTTCACTTGCATATGAGGTGACTGAAAATACCACGGCATGGGTTAGGCACATCTTAGCCTTCAAAGAGACATCATTGCTCCTCAGCACTTTAAAGAGGTCTTTTGCAGCAGAAAGGAGTCAACATGTGTAACATATTTAGATAGTGCCTTGTAACTGGTACTCACTCAGTGTTAGTTATTATTGAAACTAGCATTGTTATCATTTTAAGAATGTTCTGAATTCATCCTGGAAATATTTCCAGTCTCTCTCTCTTTCCTTTCCTTAAGAATAGGCTGATGATTTGAAGAATGTTCATTAATGTCTTTAAAATTAGGTAATTACACACCTGTTGTTGTTGTTATGTGTTGTGGAGTCGGAGCCAACTCAAAGCAACCCCTCCTTGGGTTTCTGAGGTGGTATCACTACGGAAATAGATTGCCCAACCTTAACTACTAATAACTAATCACACTTTACTCCATCTCATTATACCACAGAAATTTGTACTGAAGAATTGTGTTAATCAGGTATAAGTACAACTGTATCAAATTACAAATACATCATGAAAGCTGCCAGCTAAATCATAGTTAGTTGCAAAAGTTGAGTAAATAATCCAAAAAAAAAGTGTTGCTGGACAACTTTTTTTTCCCCCTTTTCTTTTTCATTAGGACATATTGTTTGCTCGCTCACAAAAGCAGAAACAAAAATTGAACTACTTTTGACAATATCGATACTAAGTTTCCTGGTAACACAGGTAGTCCCCAACTTATGACATATTTGAGTTACGAAAAACTGCACTTATGACCATCCTTTTTTTTTTTTTCCTTCCTTACACCTTATCAGTAGTAATATGCATGCAGGGAGCATGGAAAAACTTGCTGAGTTATATGAATATGCTCCAAGAATCTGATCAAGATTATGGTAGAAAAATCGCCTATCTGGCGAGAACACTGAATTTAGAACTTCATCCCTGATATGTAATAGCTCATAGATCATGGAGAAAGGGAAGTGACAGGTCAAGATTTAATGAATTTTGAAGAGAAAAGAAATGCTGAATAAGAAAGAAAGAATGAAGAAGAGGAAAGAGAGAATGTTTCAAAAAATTTTACAGTGGAAGAATTAGCTGAAGCCTTTTTCTAAACTAAATCTGGAACATCAGTTGCTTGAAAACATGGATCCAAACACTGATTGCTTTGCTAAAGTTGATAGGCAAATTTAAGAAGCAGTGAGATACTACCATGAAATATCTGAAGAAAAAAAGAAAAGGACCATATAGACAACTCTTACTAATCTTCTGACTAGAAATGCCATTCCTTCCCAGGGATAATGCAGATGATACAGAACTTTCCAAAAGTAGAGTTATTACTGCAACTGACAAAATGTCAACGTCATTGTCTAACTCTTCTTTATTGTCAGAATAACTCTTCTTTATTGTCAGAATGAATTTTTATGATTTGTGTGTCTTTATGTATGCATACATTAAAATATATCTGTGAATTGCAAGTAATGTTTCCAATCCCCAAAGACAAATAAAGATCAGATTTATAAAGATACTACTAATAAAAGGCAATAGTAATAAATATTGGGGAAAAAATGAGATATTTGACTTAAGTTAGAACCAACTTATGATGGAACCATGAGAATGTAACCATTATTAAATTCAGGACTATCCAGACACTAGTTTTCTTAGACATATTAATCTATAGTTTCATTTCAATTTCAGTCTAATTATTATTATACTGAACAAATTTACAATAACACATTTAAGCAAACATTTCAAAATCATACCTGATTGTCCTCTCTTCTACTGATATTAATTGTATCTTCTTCATTTGTCCAAGGACACTGACTTAAAGCGAATGGCAGATTTGAAAGTAATATTAAAACATGATTCTATGAATATTTGTTTCTCATATTTTAAAATTTTATTTGATATTCTGTAAGTATAAATATAACAAAAAATATCGAAACAAAAAATATTATCTTTCAAACTCATTAATGATTAATATAAACTACATTTAGTATATATAATAAAATGACATTTCATTATATTATAGCTAAATTCAAATCATAGTGCAATGTCTATACAATGTAAAATAACGGTATATTTTACAATCAATTTTTATAGATTTTTT